TAATAAAACATGCATAGAAAGAGTGATGACTTGAGTCATCGCTAACAATAAACGAACAACAATCATCTATGAAACACAGCGATGACAGTTTAAGAATTTAATTTATCATTAAGATTATTAACAATTTAAATTGAGTGGTACTTATAAGATAAGTGAAGCTGTCGATGAATGAGTGTATTTTTAGAAAAAAAACTTTCATTAATTAAATTCTCTTATAAAAACGGAAACTCTATTTGATATGCTGCAAAATACTAGAGAAGTTATTTAGTAGAAACAAAATAGGATATATCGACTGATATATGTGGATATAGATAGGTAAGAAATGAGTGCAACATCTAACTCATATTCTTTAAAGTATGAACTTCTTTCAAGGTATTCATAGCTCATTAGAATATATATATATATATATATAATGTGCACCGTTTCAACTCAAAAACGATTTACTACTTAAAAATTTCTTTTAATTATTCTTTTCTGAAGGTGTGAAAGACAATTTTATATTTTCTGTTTCAATGTCCACATCTTGGTGATAGAGCAGTTGGATTTCATAAATATATACGTTATTCTAATATCGTTAGGAAAGAAAAAAAATCATATTGATCTTTAAATGATTCTCCATCTTGAATTTTAGATAAAAAAAACTGTTATGATCTGAATAAAAGAGGTTTAGATAAAATGAAAAATCTTTCGTATTTAAAAATTAAGTAAGATCAGACTAATCGTCTATGATCCGCGAAACTATATAAAGAGAGATTTTATATTGCTTGAAGCGTTCATTTTTTCACAGTGTGTGTATTTGTATTCCATACCACTTCCATATAATTAAAATTTTCCAAAGAAGAAAAAGCAAGACTGTAGCGGTGTGTACTTCACTCGTACTTCATTGTATTGAACATGTTTAAATAAAAATTGAAACCGGAACTCACAATCTATCTCGGATTTAAATAAATAAATCGTTGACTAGAAATGCGAATATCCTATATTACAGTAAAACAAAAGTGGAAATTTTTTAAAGTTTTCTATATTGTAAAATATGTCATACATATTTACATAACGAAATTGATTTAACTTACAAATAATGTTGATTTCATACCGATTCACTCATCTCCAAATTGATGGAGCACGGCTTACGAAAATATGAACATTTCTTTATATAAGAGAATTAAAGAAACTACTAATAGACAAAAGTTAAAAGATAACTGTCATATAACAAATAATTACAACAATTCTTGAAGGTAGATGCGGGATGTAATTGAATACTCTATTTCACCTACACTCACCCTCAAAAATTCAGAAATTCGTCGATATAATCTAATAATTCCCATAGAACAAATAAATCGTAGTATTTATTTAAAAAAAAATGAATAAATCTCAAAAAAAGAAGCCCTAGAAGCTATTGAGGAAGAAAAGTGAAGAGAGCAAAACATTTAGAGAACAATCGATGCACATATCAATGATGAGGAAGAGAGAAAATCAGACGAAAGTGACAATCAATGGCACACAACAGAAAAAGAGAGAAAAAAGCTAATAGTAATAATATTGTTATAGCCCTCTCTAACACATCATCATCATCCATATACTTCTGCACTATTCAATGCGCTTATAAGATTAGGGGCTCCACGAACAACTAAGATAGTTCCGTTTGTCAACTTGGATGCTGTGTGAAGAAATCGTGTGGCGCTCATTGTGCTAGTAGTTGTCCAGAGCCCTGTGGGTGAATTGTACACTTCTGCAATACTCAGTCCGGTACTGCCATCAGCGGTTCCACCAGCAACTAAGACATTTCCATTTACTAGTCTGGATGCTATGTGAACTGCTCGTGCACTGTTCAAGGTGCCAGTAGTTGTCCAGAGTCCTGTGGATGAATTATACACTTCTGCACTACTCAGTGGGGTACTACCATCAGGAGTTC